GGGGAGCAGAACAGGCAGATCGACAAAGTACACTGCTGAGGGGAGCAGCGGGCGGGTCAGGAGAGGTCTGCCGCGCCACGTGGGTCACCTCCGGGGTGGGGGATTGAACTTGCATGGAAGCGGCTACAGCCAGCTTGTAGCACTGTGCTTTAACCCGCTGCGCCACCAGGGAGGACCCTACTTCATATATTTTTAAGGGAAGGAGGGGAGAAATATTTTTTCTTTAAGCCAGCTCCCTTTAAGTATATTTTAAGAAGATAAATGTATTTTTTTAAAGATCTATTTATTTGTGCATACAGAATTGGGGTACAAGCTACAGGCTCAGGGGCGGTGAGAGGCTTCACCAGAGACAGAGTGGGGAGCAGAACAGGCAGATCGACGAAGTACACTGCTGAGGAGAGCAGCAAGTGGGTCAGGAAGGTCTGCCACACCTTGTGGTCACCTCCGGGACAGGCGGGAATCGAACTCACAGGAATCGAACTCATGCAGAAGCGGCTTTAGATTCTCAGTGCTGTGCTTTAACCCGCTGCGCCACCAGGGAGGGCCCAGGAAGATAAATTTAAAGAGAGTGCTTTATATCACCGCTCTTACTGGAAAGCCAGGTGGCTCTCTGTTTTCTAGAAATAGAACCAGAGAGACGGTGCACAGAGACAATGGCTATACGAGCTGGTGCTGGTGCCAGCCCCTGCTGCACCGGTCTCCTTTGTTATAAAAGGGAGGTGACGGGCGTGCAGCAGTGGTCAAGGTACATCATCCCATCGGCGTGGAAGGCGGCTGTCTCCATCAGGAAGTGTCAGGGGACTTCTCACCAGGTGATTCAGAGTCATCCCAAGTCATTTTCACGCCTCCTATGGATCATGTTCTTCCCTCTGGGAAAAATTGCCCCAGACCTCTCTGCACCTGAGGGTGACCTCAAATCAGTCCTAAGGCCTATTTATGAAATACCTGATGCTTTTATACGCATTACCTCATTGAGCCCTCACTGAAGTGAGCTAGATCTTCCCATTTACCTAGGTGGTAGCTAAGGTCCAGACAAGATCCTGTGGTGGGAAAATGGAGCATGAGAATTTCACCTTGACCTTTCTTATGCCAAATAGCTTCTTCTACCTTGCCACGCTGACTTCACTCCGCCTTGGCAAGTCTGGCAATGTTCACTGCCGTGATTTATATAAGAAGTGGCTACTTGATCACTCAGCTGACAAAAATATTTTTCCCACTTTTTTGGTCTTCACCTACAGTTCCTGGCTCCTCTGTCCCCCAGGTCCTTGGAATCTCTTAACTACCCAGAGAGATGAGGTGTCTTTTGTATGTGAACAAGGCGACTTGGAAGCAGGTAACGTGGGGGACTATCTGCCAGAAGAATCAACCCAGTGAATTCCCAGAGCAGTGAAAAGGCAGGGGATGGACATGGTGTTTAATTGTCACTGGGCAGTGATTTCATCAATGGGGCCTAGGCAACGAAACCTCCACAGAAACCCACAAGGATGGGCGTCAGAGACAGTTAAGACAACAGCTGATGGCACATAGGTGAATTGGTGGTGGGAAGCCCATGGGGATTGCCACTGAGGTGAAAAAATGCACAAAATGAAGAATGATGTAAAAAAAATTAAAAATGTAAAAATAAAGATCAATACAATTTTTAAAAATAATTTTAAAAAAAGACAAAATCTCCGTTGACCTGGGTACCTCTTCATTTGACTGTTGATTTGTGTCCTTTAATAGCCTTTCCAATAAATTGGGGATCTGTTGTGTAAACAGGTTCCTGGCTTTTGTAAGATGCTCTCACAAACTCATGTAACCTGAGGATGAGCTCATGGGCACCTCCAACCTGTAGCTGGTTGTACCTGTGGGCCGAAGCTTGTACCAATCCGGACCTGTGACAAGCACAGGTAATAGCCAAGGCTTGAGGCTGGCTTCTGGAGTACAGGGCCATCTGGCGAGACCGAGCCCTTTACCTGTGCACCCTGCGGCTTTCTCCCAGTGGACGGGGGCAGAATGAAGCTGAGTTCGCAAACACTCTGCTGGTATCCCTACTTATGACTTTGCATTCAGGTGGTGGAATCCTTTCAACTCACATTATATCCAAGGCCCTCTGGTTTCAACTTTCTCTCTAATTCACTATTTTATTCATTCACAAATTTTTTTTAAAGATTTATTTATTTGTGCATACAGAACTGGGGTACAGGCCAGAGGCTCAGGGGCAGTGAGAGGCTTCACTAGAGACAGAGTGGGGAGCAGAACAGGCAGAGCGACGAAGTGCACTGTTGAGGGGAGCAGCGGGTGGGTCAGGAGAGGTCTGCAGCGCCATGTGGTCACCTCCGGGGCAGGAGGGAATTGAACTCATGCGGAAGTGACTTTACATTCTCAGTGCTGTGCTTTAACCCACTGCGCCACCAGGGAGGGCCACAAATTTTGTTTTTTAATAGTTTATTTCTACATCATTTTGTGCCTTTTCCCATCTCAGTTGTAATCCCCATGGACTTACCATCAACAGGTCAGCCGTGTGCCATCACCATGGTCCCGTGCATTCCTCTCTCTGCTCCTCCCCCCCCGCGTTTTTGATCCCATGCCCCACTCTACCCCCGTAAAATGTCTCTGGTATATAGTTGTTCATTGTTATTCCCACACACGCACACACACATCCTGGTCCTTTATGCTCCTGCTATGAGTGAAACCATCCGGTATTTTTCGTTTTCTTTCTGGCTTATTTCACTACACATGATCCCTTCCAGCTCCGTCCATGTTGCTGCAAAAGGCATGAGTTTATCTTTTTAACTGCTGAGTAATACTCCATTGTTATATGTACCACATCTTTTTAATTCAGTTGTCTACTTTTGGGCATTTGGGTAGACTCCGTGTCTTTCCTATTCTAAATAATGCAGCAATAAACATTCTGTGTAGGCATTCACCAAATATTTACGAACTGTCTACTCTGCTGTGCTGGATCAAGGCATTGGGGGTACAGCATGGAACCAGATCACCAAAATCTCCTTTGGTGGGAGTAGGACAATAAATATATCAGGCAGTGAAGAATATGAGAAAATATAAGTGGAGTGGAGAAATAAAAACAGAGAGGGTGTTTTTAATAGGGCAGTCAGGGAAGTGCTATCTGAGAGGGAATCCATATACCTCAGTTCAGACCCAAAGGAAGAGAGAGTGTGAACCAAGAGTATATCTGGGCTGAAGGATTCCAAGCAGAGAAGACAGAGGTACAAAGGTCCAGAGGCAGGAATCTGCTTACTATATTTGAAGTCTGGCATGGCAGGAGCCAGCAGGGAAATAAGAAGCACTGAAGTAAGGAAAAGTAACCAGGCCAGATTGTGGAGTACTGGGGGGGGGGGGGGTTTAGAAGTGGAACCAGCAGGGGCTTTTGAGTGTAGGAAGGTTCTCTGGGGGACAAAGGCCAGGCTTAGGGGCAAGTCAGAGACCAGGGAGAAAACTGGGAAAGGTTGGAGGCTGGATTCAGTGTAGAGGGGAGATGGGTTTGGGTGGTCTCTGCTCCCTCCCATGGGGTCCCAGGCCCCATGCTGGCATCTACTGGCACACCTTGTCCACAGCACCTGTCCTGTGGGCTAGGTTCTCGACCCACCTGAGTGACAGTTTTCCTGACTGTTGGGGACTATGGTAATCCTGCAAAGAACCTAGAATAGTGCCTGGCACACGAGCTCTCCGTGGATGACCTGGGTGGGGCTGGGAGTATCAGTGTGTTGGGACAATTTCTGGCTGCTGTTTAATTTTGGAGACATAGACGTATACATACACATCCCGCAAGGGCCAAATGCAGAAGCTTATTTTGTTTTATTTAAAATTACATTGGCACAGGGGTTAAGTCTCTGCACTATGAAGCTTTCCACGGCCACTACAGCATGAGTTTGATCCCCGGCCAGGGAACTGACCCACAGGACGCAGCAGACCTCTCCTGACCCACCCACTGCTCCCCTCAGCAGTGTATTTCAATAGATCAACCTGTTCTGCTCCCCACTCTGTCTTGGGTGAATCCTCTCACCCTTCCCCACCACAGACCTCTGGTCTACACCTCAGCTATTGTATGCATAAATAAATAAAATAAATCTTTTAAATATATATATATGTATATATTTGATTAAGATATGAATCATACACCACAAAATTCACTATTATAAAGGGTACCTCCCACTCTCTAATTTCAGAACATCTTGACAACCTCAGAAAGAAACCCTCACCCATTCACAATCATTTCCTATTTCTGTCTTCCTCACCCCCTGGCAACTATTAATCTCCTTTGTTTCTGCAGATTTCTGCTTCTGTATACATTTCATAAAAATGGAGTCATACAAATATGGCCCTTTGCATCAATTTCTTTACCTTTAGCTACTTGTTTGCATGTTGCATTCATGTTGGAGCCTGCATTGGTGTTTCACCTGTTCATAATTATGGCTAAATAATGTCCTGTTCCATGGATAAACAAATCGCGCTCATTATCGACTGATAGATATTTGAGTTGCTGTTAGAGTCTGAAATCACCTGGTTGCCTCCCGTGACAAAGGACAAGACCAGGGATGCACAAACAAGCAGAGTTTATTAAGCCAGCTAGCTGGGATCAAGCTTTCCTGCAGGCTCGCAGACCACACAGGGAGAGCAAGACCCCAGCCATAGGAATGTCAGAGAATATATAGGCCCTATCGGCCGTTACAGACGTCATAGCCCGTGCAAATTCAAAGATGAACAAACTCCAAGGCTCCCAAGGACGAGTTACCAAGGCTCCCAAGGACGGGTTTCCAAAAACAGATGTCTCAGTCAGGAGCTGATATCAGGGTCTAGTCTCAGCTGGTTTCAGGAGCCGGGGCCAGGAATGTTATCTGCCTGCGCTTCTTTCTGGGCCCAGGGTGAGTCAGAGACCCAGGCAGAGGGGCCTAGCCAGAGGGGCTTAACATTGCTTGCCACTCTTGGCTTTTGTGGATAACTCAGGTATACATTTATGCACAGTGTTTTAAATGACATAGGCTATCTCACAGACCTGGAATTTGGAGGGCCTCCCTGGTGGCACAGTGGGTTAAAGCCCAGCACTGCGAAGCCCAGTCACAGCTGCTTTAGTGAGAATTCCATCCTGGGCCAGGGAGGTGACCCACATGGCCCAGCAGACCTCCCCTGTCTCGCCCACTGCTCCCCACAGCAGTGTGTTTCAGTCAGTCTGCCTGTTCTGCTCCCCACTCTGTCTCTGGTGAATTCTTTCACCCCCCACCCACCCCCGCACCTCTGGTCTGTACGCCAGTTCTGTATGCATAAATAAATAAATCTTTGAAAAAGGAATTTGGGGATCACTTAATTGTGTTTTGAATGTATGAGGAATAAAAGGTCTTGTGAATGACACTGGACTTCAGCAAGGTTCATACATCAGGTTGATAAAAGCCAGGAACACGTTTAAGAAGACTTATTTTAAAATAGTCCCCCCACCCCGCCACATATCCTCTTCCTGGAGGGGCCCCCAAACTGGCTGCCTCACAGCCCAACTCAACAGCAGGAACACACCCCTGCCTGGGGGCCACTGAGCTTGCTGGGCGCCTCATCAACTTTCTCCCTTCTTCTGAGCCTCGACTTCATCACCTGTGAGGGGCAGTCACTGTGCCTGCTGTTTGGGGTGACTGTGAGGTGCATGAATCACGTCTGCAAGTGCTTAGCACACACATCATGAGCCCTGAGCTCCCAATAAAAATGGCTGAGAGGGTGCGGCCCAGACTCCTCTCCCGGTTCTTCCACTTTGGCAGAAACCGGCCCCTCCTCTCGGGGTTCCTCCCTCCCCCGGGGTCCCCTCACAGTTCTTTGCCTTGTTCTTGCTCATACTCAATCCACGGGCCTCCCCAAGTCTCCTCACAGCCTGTCCCATCCCTGGTTACCCAACGTTTGTGCCTGGCCTGACCTCCCCTCTGGAACCTCTTAGTCTAGGAAGAAAATGAATATGAAACACACAAGACAAATTGTGTAATGAAGGAAGAGATCTGTGTCCCTTGAGGGAAACAGGTCCCTTGGCTCAACTTGGCTGGTCAAGGTAGCGAAGACAATGGGGGAAAAGCAAGAATATCAGCCCTAGGCAGAGTCCCCCGCAACTGCCTTCAGGCCAGGCCTCAGTACCTCAGCACCTGCAAACTCTTCTTTCCAGAAGCCTCCAGGGTGAGAGCTGCCAACCAATGCATGCTCACCACCCCACAGCTTTCTGGCCCCCTGGGGACCTTCATCAAGCAAACCCAGTCAGAAAAGGCTCATTCAAAGAAAACTAAAGATCCCTTTGCCTAACAGAACCCAAGATTAACTCCCTGGGATATTTCTTTTCCAGCCCCTGGGAAACTGTGTGCAACACGGAATAGTAGGTGTTTGAATGAACGGTTCTGTCCATTAAGATACGAGGCAAGGATGTCCACCTCTGACTTCCAAAGGCATCAAAGCCATGTTGAGTGATTGGCTGTGTGATAAAGCAAGCAGAGGAGAGCCTTAGGGCAGGGCCTCTGGCTGTGCCTTGGATAGTGGATAAATGCCCAAGGTAAGGAGCCCAGGGGAGGGATCTGAGGCTGTCCTGCAAGAGAGACCCCTCTGCCCAGAGGGCTTTCCTGTCCTCTCTATCTGTCAAAAAATCCCTTGCTTTTCTGCATGAAACAAAAAAGCACAAATGAGGAAAAACGCCGTGAATATAAATAATGTCAGGGTTCCAGCATGTGCTGCCCTCCCTGGCCTGATTTCTAGGTTTTAGTGATGTCTTGCTGTGTATTTGTTTTCATACTCTGTGTTAATGCCTCGTATCCCCAGGAAGCCTGTTATTTCCCTAAGGGCAGGAACTTTCTCCCATTTTTTGGCCTCACCTGATGGATTTTTGGAGCTGGAAGACATATTTGAGTCCCACAGACACCCTGCCCCCCTCCTGGAGATGGCGGTGGGTGACAGCTGCCTCCAGTCACCGGTCCAGACTCAGTACCCAGCCACCACAAGTGTTTTAGAGACTTCACAGGTCACTTTGGACCATAGTCTTGGTCCTGACAATAGAGAGGCCTGCTCATGGGTTACCCCAGCCAGCCCCACCCTACGCCAGCTTCCCTTTCCTCATCCATCACCATTGTGGGGATCAGGAGAGGACCTTTGTAGGGGGCATCAGTGGCTCAGGTATGTCCAGGTCTTCAGCAGCAGCTGGAAGCTCGGGAGCTCAGGATGCAGTAGTTGCTATCTTTCCCCCTTGGGGCTTTGAGTCTGCCTCACCCCTGTCATCTGTTGCCTGCCCCTTAGCCTGGGGAACCCCTCCAGGAGAATACCACCCTGTGGATCGCTGTCCTCTCTCCCAGTTCACAGATTTGCCTCCCACTGATATCAGCCGGGCAAGCCTCTGTTCTAGAACGTCTCTGAAGCTCTGGTGGCTGTTTCTCCCCCAGCTCACCGACTCTGACCGTGGTCGCGGCTCCTACCTAGCATGAGCCTCCCTGAGTTTCTCTAGAAAATGGATCAATAGCTGTACCTCTTACCTCACTGGGTCTTTGGGCGACCTGGTGATGTCATGCATGCAAAGTACCCAGCAGGGAGCCTGGCAGTAGTAATTGCACAATAAACACAGCTCCCTTTGTCTTGCCTTGGTGCCTTGGGGGCCACACCCCATGAATGAGGATGCCTCCCCCTGGGCCCCACCTAGGCCCAGCTATTCTCTTCCCTCCTGGCCTCACTCTTTCCCTCGACCGTCTCTGCGCAGCAGGGACGCCTGGCTTGTCTCTATCAACTGCCCTCTCCGGCCTGATCAGCCTGAAATCCCCAGCTCAGCCTCCAGCTCCTTCTGCAAAGTGGCAGGAGGAGAAAAGACAAGCCTCCCTCCCGGCTGGAGCTCTTCTTAGGGAGCAAGCGGACCATGGTGAGGGTATAGTGGTCATATTTATTCACAAATCTCAGTACAGCCCCTTCATGGGACCCACATCACTAGGGCTCCCGCCCCACCCCCACCCCCAGCTCCTCCAGTCCTTCAGCTGATAGAACCACAGGAATTGTCAGTCTGCTCAGCAAAGCCAGTGTCAGTTTAGGGAATGATGCTGGCGACGCTCTGGAAGAGAACAAGAGAAAGAAGTGAAGGCGGGGTGCAGGCTCCAGACGAGGGGCGCTGCCCTGGCTCCCTGGGGTCAGAGCCAGCTGGGGCCTGGGAGTCGCTGTGTGTGGTGGGATGTCCGGAGGGAGATGCGGGTGGCAGAGCTGATGGGGCCCCTGTAGGAGCCGGACGCAGGGTCCATTTGCCTCCGAGGCCCGGGAATAAGCAAGGGGGTGTGGTGGGCTCCAGACTTTGTCTCTAAGAGGGCGCACCCCTCAATCTTTGCCCCCCTTCCCCCTCCCCACCCCGCCTCAGGCATCTGATGTACTCAGTGCAAAGACTGAGGAGCTGGGGCTTTGGGACCAGGAGTCGGGGGCTGCAGGGGCAGCCTCGCCTGGGCCAGGGAAAGGACAGAGCAGTAGGTTCCCAACACCCAGCTCAGGGGCAGAGGGGCGGGTGCCCGGAGGGGACCCTGCTCCCCAGCCGCCCCAGGGCCCCGGAGGTCCCTCCTGCCAGCTTGTGTTTGCCCAGAAGGGAAGGGCAGGCTTCCAAAGATGAACATGGCTGTGTCAGGAAAGCCCAGGTGAAGCGAGAACTGGGCTGGAAGAAGGGCTAGGGGATGTCTGCCAAGGCTGAGAGTCGGGACGTGAGAAGGGGGTGCAAGATTATCTCCCCAGACTGAGCAGAGCACAGAGCCCACGAGGGCACTCACCCGCCACAGAGCCGGAAAGTTGATGAAGGGCTTGTTGACCGAAGCCTGGAAATCAAGGACAAGACTGAGTCACCCGCGCGACCCCCACGGCCCCGCCGCTCCCCGCTGATGCTGCACTGGGACTTACTCCAGATGTTAATGTGGTGGTTGCGCCCCCTCCGTGCTGGCCGTTGTATCCGCCTGGATGACCGCCCTGTGGGTGAAGTGCAGGCTGTCATTACAACCCCTCAGCCTTTAGGGGGTCGCCCAAGTTTCCTTTCCCCCACCCCCGGCCACCTGCTCCCCTCTAAGGGGATGAGGTGAGAGGCAGAGGCTGACCGCTGCCCTCAGTTCCGCTTGGGATGGGAAGAATGGTCAGGAAAGATGTCTGCCCCCAACCCCACTGAGCAGTCTCCCCCTATTTCCCTTCATTTCAGTTAGTGAGATGCTCCCAGGCTCTGAGAAGGCGTCTGACTGCAGAGAACCTAGAGGGAACCACACAGATGGATACCAGGGCCTCAGCCTTGACCTCAGAGGCACCCCTCTATACCCGCTCTCACTGGGGTGGCTCCCTGGCCATAATCCTGTCTCAAACCCTCCGCAGAGCCTCCCTGAGGCACCACAGACTTCAGATCCCACAACAAGTCGCCTGGTCCTGGCCTCTCCCAGGCCCCAACGGTTTCATGAGCCTCGCCCCTCCCCCACATGCCCTCCACATAGCCCTTCCCCCTCCCCCCACCTTCCTACCCCACCCCTAGGCTGGCTCCCCACCCTGCAGCCATAACAGCTGTGGGCTTTGAGGCCTGCACCAGTCCTCAAGATGGCGTCCCAAAGACCCCCCTCAGGGGGAGTGGGGCGTAAATGTCACTGCTGGCTGCTCCGGGCCTCCAGACTCTGTTCCTGCCACAGAAATGGGGGTCCCAAATCCTCCAGAAGTCTCCTCTGAGGAGGCAGTGAGGGGGGAGAGAAAAAAAACGCTGACCTATGTTTGGCCAAAGCTGTGTGCCAGCCGCCTGACCTTGACAAGTCCCCTCACCCCTCACGGAGCTTCTTCGCCCTTATCTCAGAATCAAGGAGTCAGCATCCTCACAGGCTACCTCACAGGCTTGTTATGCACATGAAACAACCGGGCTTATCTCCAAAAGTGAGTCCTGAGCCCAGGCGGTCTCTGGTCGCTCATGGGATAGGCTGCCCCCCCCAACCATCTCCTGCTCCCCAGGAGAAGCTCCCCGGCCTCCTTCACCAAGAGGGCAGCTGCCCAAGGATGGGACGGGGTCCCCGCCACACTGTCTGATACGGGGCTCTGTGGTTAAGATAGCATGATCCTCCAGACCAGCTGACCACCAGCAAGGGACACGATGAGGAAGAAGGGGGACAGCTATGAAGCCCTCAGAGCTTCTTTTATCAAGTGGCCCCGGTTTGACCTCTCCCTCCCCCAGCCCCGTCTCCCCGTTTCCCCACCCCTGTTCACCTACATTCAGCAGCTGGTTGGCCTCCTTGCCGGCTTGGTGGACCCCATTATGAACATTCTGCTGCAACCTGTCCGCCTCCTTCCCGGCCTGGCCAGCAGCCTGGTGGAACCCTTGGCCAAGTTTCTCCGCTTCCTTTCCAGCCTGGCCAGCCGCTTGGTGGAACCCTTGGCCAAGTTTCTCTGCCTCCTTCCCGGCCTGGTTGACCCCATCATGGAACCCTTGGACCACTTTGTCTGCTTCCTTTCCGGCCTGTTCAACGGCATGGTGAACGCCCTGGCCAAAGTGATCCACCTCCTTCCCAGCCTGGTTGAACCCAGGCTGGACCCCTTGAACCACTCTGCCCGCCTCGTTCCCAGCCTGCCCTGCGGCATAGTGCACCCCCTGACCAAACTTCTCGGCCTCCTTCCCAGCCTGGTTAACCCCATGGTGCACCCCCTGACCAAACTTCTCGGCCTCCTTCCCAGCCTGGTTGACTCCTTGATGGGCCCCTTGAACCATTCTGCCCGCCTCGTTCCCAGCCT